AAAAGATGCAAACAGATAGAATTCGCTCAGCAACTGAAACAAATTTAATTAAAATTCTGCAGGTAATATCTTCTTTTACATTTCTGCCGTATCTTAGCGTACCCTAATTGTAAAATGTTCTTCTGTGTCGAAGTCATTTTAATTCCTTGCATTGATCCTTGCTGATTTCACTGGACTGAATTCTTAGCCACTTTTAATTCTTGCAGGATATCGTTAGTTTGATGAGTTCAACTCTGCCTTCACAACAGACAAGTAATGTTTGGTTTTTAGTTTGTTTTATCTCAAGATTTAGTAAGGTATGATGTCGTTTTTTTGTGGATGAAAAATTCAAAGAAAAACTATATGTACATAAGTACACAATCTAACCGAGAGCATTCATTTAATAGACAGAAAAAGACGAAAATCTTTCAAGTGAAATTCAATTACGATGCGAAATTTTGGCATTCGTTAGGTAACGTATAATAGTTTCCTACTGCTAAGCCAAGGACTTCGGGAATTTTCCCTGACCGAGGGGGATTGGTCACTACTTAAATGTATTTAATTTATTTTTAACCATGCTAAACTCCATAATGAATTATATTTTTTCCAAGGTTGGCAACCCAATTACCTCCATGGTTGTTCATTTCAAATTCTGAGTGGGGAATTTTGAGTGATGAAAATACGAAGAAATTATCTCACTTTCTTAATGAAAATTTGGTAAGAGTTGTAAAATATAAGTGTTATTGGAATATAAATAGTTAATTTTTCGATAGTCCATACTTTTTGTCGTGTTGATGTAGTTTAAGGATTTTTTCGTCATAGAAACCATGGTTGTTCCAAGGATCTCTGGTTCTTCCGTTTGATTTTACAGCTCATGTTTATAAAGTACGTACAACTTGTCAATGTCAATTAATTCGCATGTCACAGTATGTAAAAAAACCGCCTCAATCAGTGAATCAAAATCTTACTCTTGCAGATTTTCTTCAAAAATTTAAAATCAGGAAATGAAAAGTCTAAGTAAGTTTTTCCTACCAATTCCCTTTATGAATAAGGTACATGTAAGCATATTTTTTCGCAAACTTTATTTATTTTTGAATTCTGGGGCGAGTGTTTAAATTAACCAATATAATTATTATACACGAAGTCGAAGATCTAGATAAAAGCTTATCGTCTTTTTAAATGTAGAAATGAAGAAGAGCTATTTCGTGGTTTTCTAGGAAGTACTCCTTTCGTGTTTGCCTCCTTAATGGTAAGTATCATGCATATTTCAGAATATTAAACGTTACAAATTTTTTCTTCCATCTATTCTTCAGACGACCACAAAAAGTTCTGTGACATTTGTAGTTGAAATTTTACACGATATTCTTCGTTAAATATTCGGATAGATGAAAAATCTCCAAAACTACTTTCCATAATGGTATAGGAAACGCCATTTTAAAGGACGCCATCGGAATCCCCGCCGCTTAACCGGCTACTTTTTTCGAAAAGCCTCCTACCCCAAATTCTATTTGGAACCTGTGACTCAGTGATCAAATTGAAACCCATCAAATACGTTTTTCATCTCCAAATTCCTACAACGATTATTTTCTTCTCTCTAGTATTACTGGAATCAACTGAAACCCCTCCACCATGGCTACCTCACATCCAGTGAAACTCTGCAACACTTGCAATCGTACCATGCTTGGTTGGACAGTATTTTCATCACCGCCGAACACCATACGTTTTCTCAAGACCTTGTTTCTAACGAAGTGGGACAAAGTTACGCAATTTTTCTACAACTTTTGAAACGGTATATACAATTCTATGTTTCTTTAACAATAGGACAACTAATCAGCATTCAGGTAGAACTGAAAAGTATACTTTGAAAACGGAATTCTGGCTGAAAAGAGAGTTTTGCTATTTGAAAAGGGAGTTTTGCTATTTGAAAAGGGAGTTTTGCTATTTGAAAAGAGAAGTTTTGCTATTTGAAAAGAGAGTTTTGCTATTTGAAAAGAGAGTTTTGCTATTTGAAAAGGGAGTTTTGCTATTTGAAAAGGGAGTTTTGCTATTTGAAAAGGGAGTTTTGCCATTTGAAAAGGGAGTTTCGCCATTTGAAATTTGAAAAGGGAGTTTCGCCATTTGAAAAGGGAGTTTTGCCATTTGAAAAGGGAGTTTTGCTATTTGAAAAGGGAGTTTTGCTATTTGAAAAGGGAGTTTTGCTATTTGAAAAGGGAGTTTTGCTATTTGAAAAGGGAGTTTTGCTATTTGAAAAGGGACTTTTGCTATTTGAAAAGGGAGTTTTGCTATTTGAAAAGGGAGTTTTGCTATTTGAAAAGGGAGTTTTGCTATTGAAAAGAGTCTTGCTATTTGAAAACGGAGTTTTGCTATTTGAAAACGGAGTTTTGCTATTTGAAAAGGGAGTTCTGCTATTTGAAAAGGGACTTCTGCTATTTGAAAAGGGAGTTTTGCTATTTGAAAAGGGAGTTTTGCTATTTGAAAAGGGAGTTTTGCTATTTGAAAAGGGAGTTTTGCTATTT